ATAACCGTTACGCGATTTTTGACAGCCTCTAATTATATAGGATCAGTTAGAAATTGACACCCCTTTTGAGACTCATACCATTGACTATTGGATACTGAAGCTGCTACCTCATTCCACTGAAAATTACTAACGTGAACACATGCGTTTGAAATATATATTTATGTCACAATAAGGTACTCGTGCTAATTACCTTGTCCATCACAATATTTTTTATAGTAAAAAATATTAAGTTGTTTTTTTACAGATTATCATTGTGTAGATTACGTAGACAAAAGTTATTTTGCCATTTACTGAATAATTGTATTAATTTTTCTCTAAACAAGCAGTGCTATGCTATAATTTGTGATTGAAATTGCATCTACCCGTGTAATATTTGGTGTGTCAATTATTACATTTTTACATGATAGGACTCTTTTGTATCTTCGTGTAATGAACACCAAGGCTTTCATTTGAGAAAACTTTTTAAAAATGTTGTCAAAACAAGAAAAGCTTGTAAAGTGAACCACCATTATTCAGGGATAGTCATCAGTTGCAGGGGATGAGCTTAAATAAGGAGACAAAAGAACTGGAGGGGAGGGAGGAGTTAGATTCATTAGGAATGACAATCACCTCGCCTGACATCGACATCAACAGCTGATAGTGAATGACACATCGGTGATCAGCTGGTTCTGTCGTTCATTACAGCTGACAAACTTTTAAATAACTACACGTCAAGACTAATTTGTTTTAAAATCAAATAATGCTTGATTAATGTGTTTTTTTACTCTAATTACCTGTGTGGGTTATACATTTGTTTAAAAAATAAACTGATAAGCTCGAGTCATGTTTTCATACTGACATGTTTTCAAAAATTATATTGACAAATATCTAATTATTATATTTTTATCGATTTATTGATTTAGAATACAGTTGATGATTATAGCCTCTAAGGTTCTTTTGTACAGTACCAACAGTTTTAATCCCTTTATTGAACGAAATTGTCAGACCTCGTTTAATTTAAACTTTGCCATCACAAAGTTGGCTTGAGTATTTCTCATTTCACCAGTAATTTACTGTAATCTGTTGGAGTTGAGTCTATTTGTTATCACTGTAAAGTTTGTGTACATTTACACCGATTGCAAACATCAGTCAAAGAATCTAGCGAGAGGAAGAAGAAAGTTCTGATTGGAAATTGCTGTTGACAGTTTTGTTACTAGTCAAAGTTTTTACTTGTTTAGTTGAACATCTTGCTTTTAGTAGTTTGACCTTCAGTTGCCTTCCATCTGATAAATGTCAGCTCAGTTGAGCAACAAATACAAGTTTTCAAGTTTGAAAAATATCTTGACAAAATTTGAAACTTACAGAAAGAAAACATTTTCTGTTATTCATTTATATTTTTTTTATCCTTTTGTAAAATGTTACTAATGATAGGTTATCAATGTTACGACACAATGTTGAAAAAGATCATAAAATTATGTTCGGTACCTAGTTAATTAGTTTATTTATTTTCTTGGCTAAAAGTTCCCTATGGGTTAATTTTTGATTGTAAAAAATATGCTGTTAAGACTTGAAAAATCACGATAATCAGTTGAGCAATATAATTTATAGGGAATATGTCCACAGAAATAGAAGTGTCTTTGGCTATATATCATCCATCTGAGTTGTTTTGGATTTGAAAGTATTTAAACAAAATTATATCATTCATAACATAGGCATACTGTTGAAAATAAATATTGATTTATTATCACATCACTACTGAAGACGTTATTTAACAATCTAGTGTTTTTTTTTCAATGATAGGATCTTGACAACTTTTTTTCTGACAGGGATACTACCAGGCATTGATGTACTGTTATTTTGTCACAGTTCCATAGTTACTTTGAAATTACATTATGCCTAGTATTATAAGATTATGTGACATTTTATGTGTTCTAACTAGTATTTTTGTAAACTGTAAAAAAATACCCACGCCACAGGAAACCTGCTGACTAAGCAGATTTCCATTTGCCAGATTAGATTTTCACTGAAATCTATTTGAATTACATTAGCTTCAGTGGGAACCTAGGTTTGCTGCTACAGAGAGGACAATAAAGGGTGTTCTTGGTTTATATTACTGGCTTAGTATATTTGCCAAGTTTTATCACAATATATCCATTAACAAACCATAACTTTTTACTTATTTGCCATAAGAATATCATGAGAATTTAAAATTGCAAATTTTTTGAATTTTCTCTGTAACCAATAACGGTATACTAAATTATTTGTTTTTTAGCTCTTAAAAATGGTTTAGAGAGAAAATTGAAAACCCCCCAAAAAACCCGGGTTCCCATGCTGGTAAGCAAACCAGTTCAATTAAATGTGGGTTAATATGTTTGTACCAAATTAAATCTAAATTATATGATTTTCCCCCGAGTTAATGAACTAACAGTGTTTTTGGCCTTTGGAGACATCAAAACAAAAAAGTAAATTGATCCTGGGGCTAGGTCTTACTATGAGACATATGATAATAGCTTATTCCCTTTTTTTGGGAAATTCACTTAAAAGACACCAGCTTGTGAATGCTCAATGATAATTATCTAAATAAAATATCTAAAAATGGTCTTATCGCTCACATTTCTACATAAATTCCGTTTTAAAATATTAAAACATGTTACCAAACAAACTCAACCCGTAAATAAAAATATATTTGATACTTTAAATATATAAAAGCAGTAAATTTAATCTAAATAATTGGATCAACTGGATGTTGGAATGGTATCAGCTATCGGTTTTGGTTGGAACCCAATATTTCATTGGGATATCGGTAAGCTTAAACCATAAATCTACAGATGAGCACAATCCCCCACCACCAACCACTATATTGAATTCCAAATCAGTAATCAACAGATATGCTGATCACCTTTGCATATATTAACAATATGTGCTTTACAATAGTGGTAGTTGATGGTTAGTTTTTTTGTGCTTCAGAGTTTTAAAAATATTTTTATAACTACTTGGATATTCTAATTCGCATATTTTCATTTAGTGAATTCCCCTATAGGGAAGTAGCTATTACCGTAGGTCTCATGGTAAGACCTAGGCTCGGGACCGATTTACTTTTTCATTTTGATGTCCCTAGAGACAAAAAACACCATTCGTTAACATTTTTGTATATGTATATCTTCACACGACAACTTGAGTAATTTTTGTCCGATTTTGATGAAATTTTGTTTAAAGGTGTAAGACGGGATAAACTTGAATGATGATCGGACTATGAGGATGGGGTTTTACGGGTCCTATGGGGTAAAAATTGGTTTTTCTCATTTTTGGCCCTCAAAACACAAAAATTCCCCAATTTCTCTGTAGCCCATTTTAAGGAGCTTAAAAATAGAAATGATTAAGTATAACAAAGTGTTTTTGTATTGGTTATGGTGAAAATAAAAATTTGCAAATTTAAAATTCCTATGTTATTCTCACGGACAACATCGTAAAATGTTGTAGTTTGCTTGTTTACGGTAATATTTTGATCAAATATGGAAAATTTATTCATTTTATACTAAGCTATAATTATTTTACTTTAAAACACACTTTATTAGTTTCCTTGTAGCAGCAAACCTAGGTATTTGTTAAACCTAATGTAATTTAAATAGATTAATTGAAAATCATTTCAGGCAAATGGAAATTCGCTTAGACAGCAGGTTTGCTGCGGTGGGGGTATTTTTTTATACCTAATGAGTACTGAGAGAAACGTGAGACACTTTTTTAAGTCACTAAACATTTATACTGAGAGAGATAAATCAAATTCACTAACAAACATTTTAAAATCCGCTCTATAGTTGTTACCAAATTTTTTCATTAGTTTGTACACTAAATATCTTTTTTAGTTTTGTTCTTAATATATACCTCAATGTTATTATAAGATGTTGTACATTGTAAGGGTTATGTTATATATTGTTTACCAAATATCAGTTTTATTCAATTATATTTGAAAACTGTGAAAAGAACCTGTAAAATATTGTATAGCGGTATTGGTTCGTTTCATAAATTAATATTTATTTATTTACCTACTTTATTACTATCTGATCATTCACTGCAATCTCTTTATTTTAGAAGTTTCATCTAAATTTTCATTAAAACCATAACAGTTAGAATTGTGAACCAACCTTTTGAATCACCCTTCACAAAGAGACTAGTATGCATGTCTTGGCACTTTCAAAGCTTTGTTGTTTAAGCTGCATTCTGCATTATTTTGTACCACACATTTCAGGGATCCAGGAATGCCAAATATGAATTGATTTACTCTCCTTTGTAATGTCTATGTTTTGCATGCCATCAAAGTTAGTGTGTATTTGATTTCAAAATGCTTTACCATAGTTAAATAATTTATACTTTTTACGTTTTGCATGGACATTATTCAATAATTCATTTGTTACATAAATCCAAAATACTCTGAAATCTAAAGATGTTACTCTTTAAGTTTTCTGTTTTGAAGCTTGAGCTCAGTACCTCAAATAAAATATACACAAGTGTAGAATATATTTCATTGGATTTCTACAAAACATTGGATACACATTTTCTTTGAGATAATTTTGTACCTATTGTTTTGACTTATACTTAACTTGCTAATGAGCAAGTACCTAATTTCTAAATGCTGAAGAACAATTGTAGTTTGGTCCCCAACATATCTTTTGGTTCCTTAAAAGGGTTCTTTGTTTCACTAAGGCTTTTAACATTATCGCTGTCGTCTACGTAAAACTATCACAACTTTGTATTGTAACTATGATGACATTTCAACCCCGCTGCTGAAATGGCCAAAATATCTGCAAAGCCAAAACATCAGCTCAACATGTTACTATGTATCTTTGTTTTTCCCCTGAAGACCACGCAAATGTTTGAATGTCCTTACTTTAAAATTTGCCACCTCTTCAAAGTTCCATCTACCAAACTTTCAAGTATTTTTTTTAGCATGAATCATTATAAGCTCCTATGGAGCTGTCACAGTTCCAGTCACATTGGCTAACCTCAGTTTCCTATGTTTCCAGACACAGACAACCAGAGAGTCATCATCCACGTCAAGGATGTCAATGATGAGCCTCCGTACTTCATCAATCGTCCGCTGCCCATGCAGGCGGTGGTGCAGCTCAATGCTCCTCCCAACACTCCTGTCTTCACACTGCAGGCGCGAGATCCAGACACTGACCACAACATACACTACTTCATCGTCCGTGACAGGAGTAAGTTGATCCATTACGTTTGTAATATTTTAAAGGAAAGCCAATTGCTATGGGAGGAATTTTTTGGAAAGGAGAAGAGTTCAGCTAACTTTCCTGAGTAAAATATAGTTCAGAGTTGAAGAGAACTTTTACTGGCTGAAGAAGTCCTTCTCCAGGACGAAATATTAGTGTTACAAGTCTGGTTCTTTTATTGTGTATTTATTAGTTCCTGAACTCTATTTTCTTGAGCTAGCTGAACTTCATACTTTTCCAACAAATTCAACTATATTTTAAAATATTTTCTGAGGATGGCAGGCTTACCTGAATGAGATAGAGTCCAAACTGGTACAGGATACACAAAACATTACACTATATACACAAAATTAGAATATTTCACTGTCACTGTCTCACCGACAGCATTTTCAACTAGGGAAGAGCGAGTTTTCTATGAACAAATAAGATTTCTATCTGAAAGAAATCTCTGCATTCCTTATAAATGCTGACAGTGACAGTGAAATATTCTTATGTTTTTTGTATATAGTGTAAAGTTTTATGTATCCTGTACCAATTTGGTCTCTTTCCCATTCAGGTAAGCCTGATATTCTCACAAAAAATCTTTAAATCCTAGGACCTCGTGCTCTATGTATATCTCCTTTTATTTTAAAATAACTAGTTTAATCTTGCAGTGAATCTTGATCATTTGATTTTTGCCTGATCTCTTTAAGAGGGAAAATAATAGATAAGCTTGTTAATATCCAATGTTAAAGCTATGCTGGTTTGGGTAAATAAAAAGGGTTAGGAGGTAATACATTGTAAATTATGAATCCATAAGTATCTGTATTTCGCTAATGTTAACCAACGTAAAGAACTGGTTATTGAAGAACCGTGAGATTCCTATATCACTTTTTGTGTGTTAAAACTGATGTCTTACTCAGTTTTAGAGGAACCCTAGTGGAATTCCTCATATGACAATTTTATGTTAACAATTTAAATTTTCATTACCACTACCTGGATTAATAATATGAGAAACCACAAACTCCTTGAGCATCCAAGTAGAATAATTTGTTGCTTGTTACGTTTTTGTTTTGCAATTTAAAATCTACATTTCAGAACCCAGTTCATTTTCAAAAAAAATTACAAATTTTACCGCACATTCCTTTTTGTTTCATTTTACAATTTTCTAGGTTTTTTCTTTATCATAGATTCTCCAATTAAATCTTGGTAACAAGATTCCAAGTAACACAGTTCATTGCTGAATACTTATATTTTATTTTCTAGTAAAACCTACACCTCATGGCCAGGCTGTTTTTATCATCCAAATTATCATTGGGAGTTATGGTTTACGGAATTTCCATCATTCACACATAAATTAAAATTTATAACAAAATAGAATAACTCATCTTTTGCAATCTTTGAAAATAATCTACAAATATATTTTAAACTTGAAGTACCTTTATGTCATGAAGGTTGAGATGTACAAATTACACTACAGCAAATCCTGACAAGTGAAAGAGTGATTTGTAGTGACAGGAAAAGATGTAGCAGATCACAAAGTTTGGTCTCATTCTTAATGGCTGCAATCTGTCATGCTTTTTGCTCGGTTTTGTTTACTTCCATGCAGTTTTGTTTAAAACTGATAGGTACTTTGGTTATAGTAGAGATCGTTTTAAATTTAATAGTAAAACTTAATGTAAAATGTGTGTATATAGTAATTACCTACCTGTTAAAAATATTTCAATTAATTATATATCTGATCTACTATGAGAAAATACTGCTATTATTTTCTCCAAAACATTATGCAGTTCTCAAATTAACAGTTTTGTAACATGAAGCAGTACTAAAAATTCACAAATGTAATGGATAAAAAAAACTTTCCTGTAACAGTTTGCAACTCATTAGTAGACTAAGATGATGAAATAAAATTTGACAAAATTATATCCAAAATCGGTTAAAATGTGATATAAATTGTATACAAATTATCATACAGGATATACAAGTTATTTTGTGTTATGAAAAGACCCAATGTAACTACTGGAAAGCCCATAAAAGTTTTCAGTACTGCAATCGTTGACTTCTTTTGTTACACAAGAATGTGTAACATAAAATTTATTTTAGAATTTAAATCATTATAAAAAAATAATGTCCCTTTGCCATTGTCACAAGGATGCATTTTATTAGTACCCAGGTGAACACAGTTTGAGATGATTCTTTGTTTGCAGCTGGTGGAAGGTTTGAGGTAGACGAGAGGTCTGGAGTTGTGCGGACCAGAGGCACCGACCCCTTCCAACTAGACATGGAGTACGTGCTGTACGTCAAGGCGGAGGATCAGAACGGACGAGTGGACGAGAGAAGGTGAGCAGTTGTGTTACTCTTACAATAATATTTTAATCCTCTCTAGGTAAAACGGATTGTGATCACATGCAATATTTGTTTAATGTAGGCAATATTCTTTGGAAGCACTATTTACTGGGATGAATGCAGTTGACGTTAAACATTTTAGGTTTGGTGGTTTATAAAAAAATCTTAGCGCTATGAGTCAAAAACAAAATAATAATATCCCCAAACTTTTACTTACAACCATCTATGAGTGTTATGCACAATATGCTTTATGCTGGGACCCCAACCTTGCCTCTCCTATAATAAGGTCTATGAGTGTATATCGCACAAAAACAGCTTAAAGATCTGCCGACGTATGCGGATACATGGGTGTCAAGTTTAGAACTGTTACACTTAAGCATTTGTTTGTCCATTGCTGTTAGTGTGGAACATAACTAGGTTTGATTTCTGGCTGAGTGGTGTTGTCCTATGTCTCTCCAGACTGTATTGGGGTTTCAAGTTACGTCTGTAACTTATAAATTTATAAACCAATAATAATGGCCCTCAGATAGTATTGAAAAAAAACTCAATTGACATTGAATGATGATTTACGGCTCGAAATTTGTAGTTTCCAACTAAAATATGAAGATAAAACCTGGACCACATAGCACCTTTGTTTAAACAACCTATAAATTTATGGTTAAGGATTTCTCACACTGCTTTATGAAATTACTGTCTCGTGTGTCTGTAAGGTTAAATTGATATCCTTTGAGGAGGAGTTCCAACCCAAACAAATAAGTATGTGCATTCACATGATTAATTTCACAGCAGTCCTCAAATGAATGTGTTTGTTTGCTAATATGTGTTTGTGTGCTGACAGCTGACATAAAAGTGAAGTAGTGTCCTATAAACCAAGTAAAACATAACCATTTGAACATGAGCTAAAAATTAGAGATTTTATTTTGTTTGTGGAATTGTAATGCCTGTGATCTAAGATTGAAAAAAATTAAAACTAAGATATACTTACTTGAATACTTACTTGAATACTTGAAGTCTGTGTCGTTGACCGATAATATCAGTATGACTGCGTCATATTTACTTAATACTATGAAAACTATTTACACACTACTTACACTGTGGCAATGGCTAAAAAGTGGCTCGTTGCCTAGCTCTTCAAGGCTGTAAAGAGGCCTATTTACCAGCCTGTCACGTAGGGCCGTCTTAAAATCGTCTAGGTCCAGGTCGCGTACATGCACCGGCAAGGAATTAAAAAACCTTATCGCAGACCTAGGATAGCTCTTCAGTGAGCGGGCTAGGCGGCATCTCGGCAAATCAATGTCACAAGCTTGACGGGTATGGTGACTATGAATATTGTCTCTCACAACAAAATGGTGGATATTAACCTTCAGCAGGATCAAGACATTGAGGACATACTGGCTATAAACAGTCAACACACCCAGCTCCAGGAAGATGGGACGACAGTGCGCTTTGTAGCCAGAAGATGTTATTATCCTCAGCGCCTTTTTCTGTAGCAGAAGTAATTCCTGTGTCCATGGAGAATGGCCCCACAGAACCAGGCCATACGTGAGGTAACTGTGAAACAGCGCATGATACACCGCTAGCAAATACGGTCTGGTAATGGTGGTTCTAAGCTTCCTTAAAAGGTGGAGAACTCTTGAGAGCTTTACACATACCTTTTCAATATGATGGTGCCAACTTAGCTTTGAATCCATCCAGAACCCAAGCAGCTTCACGCTGTTTTCCTCAAGACCGATCTTCAAGGAACATAAAAGGATCTGAGTCTTCTCCTCGTCGATCTTAAGCTTGTTGGCTATGAACCAGTCCTTGGCCAGCCTCAGGGAGTTGTCTGCCTCCTCCAGCAGCGGGTCGATGTTCTTCCCCTTTGTGACCAAGGTGGTATCATCTGCAAAAAGGAGGGCATGGCTGATTGTAGCAAGGTCATTGATCATTATTGTGAAGAGAAGAGGGCCCAGGACCGATCCCTGCGGAACTCCATGGGGAAGAGAGCCTATAGCAGAAGAAGCACCCATAATTGTTACTATTTGTTTGCGGTTGCCAAGGTAGTCCGCAAGAGAGCAGAAAACTGCGCCACCGATACCATATTTTCTCAGCTTGGCCAGAAGGATGTCATGTGACACAACATCGAAAGCCTTGCTGAGGTCACAAAGGCTGAGGTGGACCGATTCATTTTCCTCAAAGGCCTGGGATATGGTGTCGACCAGGCTCAGGAGTGCGGAGGTGGTAGATCGACCACTACGAAAGCCATGCTGTGAGTCCACCAGTAGGCCATTATTTTCAAAGTATGAGAGGAGTTGTCTCTTCATCATAGTCTCCATCACCTTAGAAAAGATAGGGAGGATAGAAATGGGGCGAAAATTTTCCATCAGTGTAGGGTTCCCTTTCTTGAAGATGGGCACAGTACGGGCCTTCTTTAGAGAGTCCGGAAAAAATCCATGAGCCAGGCACAAGTTGACCAGGTGCGTGAGAGGAACGGCCACGAGATCTGCAACAGCCCTGAGAACATGTGTAGAAAGGCCATAGACATCTTGGCTCTTGGAGTCTTTGAAATTCTTAATCATTTGGGATATCTCTCTTACACTCACCCTATTCCAGCAGGTAAATGAATGGACAGAGGAGTAGTCCGGCACAGAATCCAGAGGATCCGTCTGCAACACAGGTAGATCAGAGATGATGTTTCCAGCCACACTTGTAAAATATTCATTTAACTCATCAGGGGATGCTTGGATTTTAGGCCCGGGACCTGGCGCTCTTTCTTTATTGATAATGTCCCACGCAGCTTTACATGGGTTAGGGGCACTAAGGATGGATTCTGCATTAAAGGATTTCTTGGCCACATTGACTCTAACCCTATAGTTCCTCTTGATCTCCAAATAAAGAGAATAGAGCTGCCCTTTCCTACACATATCACTGGAGCCCTTATACAGGTCATGAACAAAAGCCATGTAATTTCTCATCCTCCTCAGTTCAGGGGTGTACCAACAATTGGCTGATTTGTTATGCCTTGAACCAGAGGCAGCGGAACAGACTTTACTCTTGGGGTTATATAATTTAGCTGAAAAAACATGATCAAATTCATCAAAAAATATACTAGAGAAAAGCTCAAAAGCAAGTTTAGGCTCGGTCAATGTGTACAGGGTACTCCAATCTACATTAGAGAGCTCATACCTAAACAGAGGCAAATTTTCCATACAGATGGGTCGCTTTATGATAGAGTAGTCCTTAAGCCAAGAAGGGTTAGAATTAAGGCTTACCTCAGAGCAATTCACACTCAGGATCACAGTACCATCGTGATCGGCCACGAGCGATGGAACAACCTCAGCTTTCACCTTCCAAGAGTCGAAGTTTGACGCCACAGAATCAAGACACGCCGTCCCTCTTGTTGGTTGACGGGATGCCACATACAGTCCGTAGGATCTGAGTAGGTTTACAAAGATTGACTCCTCAGTAGACGGACACTCAAGATGGATATTAAAATCCCCACACAAAATCAGGTTTCTTGGATTGAGGCCCGAGACATGAGTCAGGCATTGGTCCAGTTGGTCAATAAAGTTATTGAAATTCCCGTTAGGGGATCTGTAGACACACAATAATATGGTACCAGTATTGTCAATCAGAATAGCTGCTACTTCAAAGTCAAGTTCTAGACAAAAGGTATCGAGGTCAATTTTCCTGCATTCATAGTTTGACTTGGCAAATATGGCAGTACCTCCATTTTTATGAATTTTACGACAGTAAATGTTTGCAAGTTTTAAGTCAAGCAGATTCTTATAACAGTCACTCTCATCCGATGTTAACCAATGTTCCGTTAAACAAAGAAAGTCAGACTTAACTTCATGTAAAAATATAGACAGTGTTTCACTTTTGTTCCTTAAACATTGAACATTTAACGCAGCTACTTTAAAATTAGTGGAATGGGACAACTCTGTATTCAACACAATATTATTTTCACTAAGAGGCCTAGGCCTACTATTACAAGTCTGGGGGTCTGATTCGAGTGAACTACAACTATCACTATCAGTCTCTAGCCTAGGTCCATCTTTTAGGTTAGGTAACACAAGGTTTGCTATTTTACCACTGACCTGTAAATAGTCCTCCCTAAAAAAGAGTGGGGTAGTACAGAACTTCGTTTTTTGGGAATGAAATTTCTTACCAGGATTCCCTTAGGCCAGAACTTGGGATTGAGAATCACGTCAGCTAGGTTTTCAGGCAGTGCTATCTTGAAGGATTTATATGTTTTGAACCTTGATCCAAGTTCAATGCACTCACAGTCAGTTACACCCTTATCACCCAAAAATTGGGATAGTCCTTCTTTAGTCGTATTTGGTGACAATCTTGATATAAAGAACAAAGCTTGATTTCCGGCAGGTTTAAGATTAGTTTGCTCCCCACAAGTCCCTATAATGACTTCCTGTCTGTTTAATACTTTAGACTTAGCACTTTCCACCACTTTTCCTTTAGGTTTTTTACTCCCTAAAGCTTTTGCATAAGTAAGTTTTTTGTTTGGGGTTAAGTCTTTTGAGGTTAAATCTGTATCTTCTGCACGAGTAGTGTTGTCCTCAACATCCGCAGCCACGTAAATTTCATTTTCACTTTCAGTTTCAGTTCGTACAACCATTCCCATTCCAGATTCAGCTTCACTCCTTTCGGATCCATTTACTCCGGGTTGGTCTCGGTCCAGTCCGTTGACCCGCTCCGGTTCATTCCGTGGACGTAGACCGACAGTTTGCGTGTTCGATGCTCCAGCCTCTGCCAAAACTGCCTCGACATCGACATCAAGACAAGACAATACCTAACAAAACAAATTATTATCTCCCTCTATAACATAATGGTTTACAAGGTTAAGAAACACGTCTCAATGACATTGCAAGCTGACATTTTGGCCTGGTTGCTGATGGCCGTCTTCAAAGTATAGGTAATAACTGGACAGTGATAATTAGTTACTGATCGGAAGATGGCCGTCACCAACAACACATTAGTGTCATGACACAGTTCACTCTGAAGGTGTTGTTGAATGTGATTATAGAGGCTTCAATACTAATGTACCTTAACTTTAATGACCTCTTCTGTAAATTAATACAATTACCAACTGAATCTTTGCCAACCTTTCACTTAAGTAACTTAAGTAATGTCACAATTATTTATACAGATACCAGAGCACACCTGAAGAGCGTCTGTCCATCGTAGGAGGCAAAAGAGCGCCTCAGTTCTACATGCCGACATACGAGGCTGAGATTCCAGAGAACCAGAAGAAGGATTCAGAGTGAGTAAACATAATATCAACTATTTAAAATTTGATGCAGAGTCCCGCTAATCCAAACCACTTTTGAAAAAAATTACTTACTTTTATAATAGTTTTCACTATTTGTAATAAGTATGTAACATGGAAGAGGAGGGCCTTGGTTTTAAGGATATTATAAAGATATATATAGAACTGGCAGGCCAAGTTTTTTAGGTTTTTTTTTAGGTTAGTTGGCTTATCTGGATAAGGAAGAGTCACTATGGCATAAGAAACACAAAACTTAATTCACTATACACAAATGGATTACTTTAATATAAAAGCGACTCCAGACATGCGCCATTCGCCAAGTACGAAATATTTTACGTTCAGCGATCTATAGTTGTCTTGCTATTCGCCAATTAACGAGTAGACGTCTGCACACTGTGCTGTTTTCCGAGCAACTGTTAGTTTTACGTTCATTTTGGGAATAGCAAATATTCGTTCACTTTGATGTGTGCAAAAATACCGACAATGAACGGGAAAACACAAGCACAAATGTTTGCTGCTTGCCAAATAGACAAACACCCATCCACACTACTCGTATTTGGCAAGTCGCTGCTCGGTAGTTGGCGAATGGCGCATGTCTGTAGCCAAACTAATAGAATTCATAATCAAGGATGGTTATGGGAAAAGATGATAAAGTTGGTTTATTAACCAACTAACCTATTACAGTAGTTAGTCAGTGTAAAGTCTTTTTTGTACCATAGTTATCTGTTTCCTATTCAACCTGCCATCCTGACAAAATACTTGGTTGTTCCTATCATTTTCACCAAAAGTTTAACCCTTCAATCAACTTAGAATATCTACTAATCTAGATAATCTTCTTGCAGCATAATCTCCGTGAAGGCCAAGTCGTTCGCAGACCGCGAGATCCGCTATACTCTGAAGGCCCAAGGTCAAGGAGCCGGTACATTCAACATCGGCCCAACCTCGGGTATCGTCAAGCTGGCCAAGGAATTGGACTTTGAGGATCTGCGACAGCCTCATGTATACTCTCTGATCGTCACTGCCACGGAGGACTCTGGCGGATTCTCTACTTCTGTCGAGGTGAGTACCAGGAGAGTCATGAAATTTTGATCAACCTTTTAAAATGCGGTTCGTGACATTTAACTTTATTAAGTTAGTGGTCGAAAATTTAGTTATCATTCAACCTATGCTAACATTTAAGATTTCTATGACACCCTTCCATGGACTGTCATCCCAATGTATGCGTGTAATAGTTATTGAATTACAAAATAGTGAGCCATATAAACCTGTGCAAAGTTTATTTATTTGATCTGTAATGGATTGAAAACCAAACAGGTGCATCAAAACTTTTAAAACACACTGTATACAAATTGGACATGTAACAGAAAATTAGAATACTCATTTTGATAAGGTATAATAAAATTCTTCAACAGACAGCTTGATCATATTCCAATTTTCAGCTAACAATCCGAGTGACCGATGTGAACGACAACGCTCCAAAGTTTGAACTGCCTGACTACCAGGCTCACAATGTTGATGAAGACATACCTCTCGGAACCTCCATACTGAAGGTGAAGGCGACCGATGCTGACTCTGGAACCAACGCAGAGATACAGTACGAAGTGTCGGACGACCACTTTGCGGTTGACTCCAACGGAATCGTCAACAACAACAAGCAGCTGGACGCCGACAACAACAACGCTTACTACCAGTTTGTTGTCACTGCTAAGGATAAGGGTAAGCTGTTGCTTTATTGATATTCGATAAGTTACTGGGGTTAATAACTTTGATGTAGATTGTATCAATGTTGTATCCAACTGTCCTTGATAAATGGCCCTTGATAAATAAGTAGCTAATCTTAGTTGGTAACTAAGCTGTCGTCTAATTCATTTAACAATATTCCTTCATCCTCACTCATCTTCGGCTTAAAATATGAACCCTGGTGTCAGTGTCAAATTAATCTGAATAGCAAATACTTGACATCGAACTCTTTTATTCTTACCTTTGCCTGTAAAGATTTAAAATTTTTAGAATTTATTAATTTGGTACAGTAATTAAATTACTAATTGTATTGAAAATGTACCATGAGAATCGACTAGAATCTAAGCATATACGGTGATAGACAGATGATGATGTATACATTTTGTAGTAATGTTCATCTCATGTTTCAGTGAAGCCAATGTGGTTAAAGTAAATATCTAAATATCTATCTTTGGAAACCTTTATTAATGAATCTAGTATTCTATTGAAAACTTGTGAAAGGTTATCTTATTTCATACTCTGAGGAGTTGAAGATTACCAAAAAGATGTCTGTCACATCCAAAGAGATTACTCCAATTTAATTACAGTTATGTTTCTGATAACTGGCGACAGTATAAATAGGGCTGTTTAGGGTTTATTGTTTTTCTAATGACACTCTCTTTCCCCATGTTCTAAAGTTCTAACCTTTGTAAACCTAACCTCATTATAACTGAATTTTAGGAGAGCCCCCCAAGACTGGAACTGCTACTGTTAGAATATACACCAAGAATAAAAATGACGAAGAACCCAAGTTTTCACAGCAAGTGTATACACCCAATGTGGACGAGAATGCTGGTCCGAACACGTTGGTGACAACTGTCGTAGCATCAGATAAAGATGGAGATAATGTTAGGTGAGAAACTCAACTATGCTATATTCATGAAGAACAAATATAAATTAAATAGATCATAATCATCCTATCAACATAAAATTTTCACTCCCAACCCAACAAAGAAAAGTCTTTAAAACTGTATAGACTAAAATTAATTTGTCCATACTGTTGCATCCAAATTAAGGAAAACTCTGTAATATAATTATGATCTTAAAATTAAAACCAATTTATAAAGTTCTATATCCAGACACATTTTGTTGACCTTCATAACACAAGCTATCTTTAATGTTTTAGTGCAGCAAATGATATGTATAACAAATACCACATTACAGTCTGTACAAAGACATGAAAAGTTGCCTTATTTTGCCTTATAAAGCTTGTTTCTGTAAAACTGAAAGTTGTGCCAAATAAGACCATTGATCATAGGAATTATGGTTAAAAAACAAATTTGAACTAATAATATTTGTTTGCGTTTTCATTTCGGGATAGACAAAATACAATTCAAATAAATTCCAGTCCTGTGGGACGCTATTTATTGATATGTATAACAATCAATACGTGGCTATTGATACGACGCTATTTATTTATCTTTAGAATATTTGTTTTGTCTAAACTTGTTAATAGAGTCACCTTTGACCTTGTTAACTGTGCAAAAGTTTGGTGTTTGCCATTATTTGCATGGAACATCAACATGCTTACTAGATCTTGATTCCTTCATTCTATCACCAACTTACAGAAAAATTGAATTTTCTATTTTCAAACACTTATAATTTAAGTCTTTATTTCACAATTTTCTCTTGTAACCAACTAAACTAATCACTCAATGACTGTGGCAGGTTTGGATTTGTTGGAGGGGGTACGTCGTCAGGTCAATTTGTTATTGAAGACATCACCGGTGTGATTCGTCTGCACGGTAAAGCCATCTCATTGGACCGAGACAAGTACGAGTTGAATGTGACAGCGATGGATGATGGCGAATGTTGTGTCAACGGACCGGCGACCATTCACACCAGCACTGCTGTGGTGGTTGTGTTCATCACTGACGTCAACGATAACAAACCCATCTTCAAAGACTGTGGTACCTACTACCCAAAAGTAGAAGAGGGTGCTCAAAACGGAAGCCCAGTTATCAAGGTATTTGCTATTTTCGTTAACAGAGACCACCCATTTAACTAAATTAATGCAAACAAGTTTTGTTACAATTACAATTGAACAATAGTTTTATACTGCTTTTACGAAGGTTTACTACTGCCAGTTCAAAAATTGATTTATACCACATTCCCAACAACATTAACACACAAAATTAGTCCACAAAATCAACTTCCTCTAGTCAGTATTTACTTATGTCATTTTTTCTGATCCCCAAATTAAATTTTTTTTATTTGGGATGCCCTTTGGAAGCACAATGGCTGACCATCCTAAACTAGTTAGCTACATAAACTCAATTGAGTCTAGTAGTTTCTAGTAACCAATGCCACATTGTTGGACCTAAAGAGAGCATCCATTACCTCTTCAATCCATTAAAAACAACACCTTTTCATATTTCATATAACACATCTATCTATGTAACAGAATTCAACAGTTTTATGTTTTAATGTTTTAATACATTGTAACTCTACAAAGCTGAAAGTGTTAACGCCAAGACAGTATAAACTGCTGACGTATACCAGCGATTTTATTTTTGCTACAACTATTCGATCAGTCAGGTACAAAAAGATATTTGAAGTCCTCTGTCATCTGCAGTCTTTCTTTCTCTCCCCTAATCCTTACCTTAAATTGGGTTTTTATTTTTTAACCTTATAATAAACAAGTGGATAAATTAGTTGTCCACCAACTGTGGCTCTCTTTTTGTTCCTATCCCCTAGTGAAGGTTATAAAATTTGATAACCAGTGAAAAGGATGCAATCACCAAAAAATATAAAAATAAAAAAATATGAAATATAAAGAAACATAAAGAAATATATGGAAAACAACCTGTATAATATTATTGTAAAAATTACTCTTCTCTTCCTGGAGAAGTTTACTCCTGATAGGATTATCCCAATAGGCCTAAGTATTACTATAACTACCAAATACGGTTTTGAGTAATTTTTAAGTATTCAGTTTAAAATGAATTTCTTTTTAACTATGATGGAATATCTTACCTTAGTGAAACTGCAAAACAGTAAAAAATGTAACTACCAGTTCACTCAACCTACAGTAGTCTCAAAGCAATGTACCCATTTTCCTGCTTTGATCTTCTTCTTTGTGAAGTTTCAGTCCAGAGAGTTGAAACCGTACTGGACTAAGGCTGTTTTAGGACGTTGTCCCCTTCCATCCCAGCCTCTAATACTGGATTATTGCAAAACTGTCTCTTATTATCTCATATTCAAGTACTGCCGATGAGTACTACAAGTATCTCTTATCCAGGTACAAGCAACTGATGAGGATAAGGGAGTCAATGGACAGGTCAAATACTCCATTGTGCAGCAACCTAACCAGAAGGGCACCAAGTTCACCGTCGATGAAGAAACAGGCGAGGTTTTGACAAACAAGGTAACGAAAACAAATGATTTGTTGTTGTTTCACTACCTATTGAAACTATCGATCTTGTAATATCTATTATCAATTAATGTAAGTGTAAGAATAAAATAAACTATGATACATCATATTATGAAAGGATCATGTTTCCAATACACTAAGTAGCAGTGAAGCTATAAAGAAACAAGATGTTGAAAAGAAATGACATAACAATGAGGATTCTCAGATTACACTTATTGTGTAAACACGTGAAAAGGCTGAGTGGCTGAGTGTTTATAGTGCTCGCATGGTAATCGAAAAATTGGTGTATCCATCCTAAGAAATTTAATTATATTTTTGTTAATGGTTCAACAATGGACTCAGCCGTCCTGTATCATTGGGCTTTAAGTAAATAATCCTTACACTTATACTGAACTCATATTTGGGTTAAAATACAAACTTAGGTGGCGCCTTCATATCAAATGATAATGTTATGATACTCATACTTTTAAGGATACCAAATTTTTTAGAAACTTTTGACCAACTTTATGGTTACCTACTTCAACACAGTTTATATTTACAAAGACATCAATTTGGTAGAGTAATTTGGATCTAGAAGCGTTCAATTATATAACAGATTTGTAACATAAATGTAGATATTGAAATGAGGGGTTACTCATTGATTACCTGGCCTTTCATTATTTGCAATGAGTGAAACCATAGACAAAAAGAATTAAATATAGACCGTCATCTGTGCTGCGATTACCATAGGTTCTGACGCACACCGCTGGGAGCGCCTTGTAATTACGGCTTTAGCGCTACGTAACTACACGGCGCTCCCAGCCGTGTGCGCCAGAACCTATGGTAATCATGGTAACAGTAGCACGGCTGACAGTCTATATTTAATTCTTTTTGTCTATGGTGAAACACAGCTTGTACACAGGTGATAGAAGATTTAGTATTTCAAGCATTACTAAGGGTATCATACCTGATATTTGGTCATAACTGAGTAACAGAGTTCACAATCATGCTGCAGCTTGTAAAAAACAGTTGGCCTCTGACAATAGTGTGCTGTGATAACTATTCTTATTTTCATATAATGAAGAATGTATACCATATACTTTTATAGTAACCTTTCAAATTCCTCAACATCGCCCCAGAAGAAATGTAGAAGAGGCGGATGTGTGCCATCCTACGTATTCTGTTTATCTTTTGCAGTTTTTCATCTTTTGTGTGTCTGTTTATAGGTGTTTGATCGTGAAGGTGACGACGGCAAGTTCGTGTCTGTCACGGTGAAGGCCACAGATCAAGGAGATCCATCCCTGGAAGGTGTTTGCTCCTTCACTGTCGAAATCACTGATGTCAATGACAACCCTCCATTATTTGACCGTCAGGTAAATTTTAGTGTATTTGATGTAACTGTAGCAAATCTCCCAAAATATTTGCTAAAGAATTAGATATTGCTGAAGTCAAAATGGTAAAGACTTACATCAGTGTACGTTTTGGTTATTGGTTCATTGGCAAAAACTGTGTTTGTTCAAATTTTAGTGGATTTTTGTGTGTTGAAAGACACTGCAACTTATGTACAAATTATCTGATGATAAAATCTTGATAAAATTTGTAAATAGGTAGAATGAGTTGATCCAGTTTTATCTGAAAGTGTTGTTTCTGGTCTTAAATCATTACTTTAAGCACCAAACAAACTAAACCAGGAATAACACTTGGCAGCCATCTAAAAGTTTTGACTGAAGAAATCGTAAATCAATCTTTTAGTTACCAGTACATTAAAGTCCTTATTTATCAACTGTATAAGAAAATAAAGAAAAATAAAACTATGTGAACTCATTCTTTACTTATATTTGGGATTAAATAGCCCAGTCGCATCCCTATCTCAAATGTTGATGTAAGGCAAAACCGTTGTAAACGATATTTAATTGTATGTTACAGAAATACGTAGAGAATGTAAAGCAAGATGCCAGCATTGGTACCAACATTTTGAGAGTGTCAGCGTCAGATGAAGACGCTGACAATAATGGAGCGATTGTCTACTCCCTCAGTGCTCCATACAATCCTCAAGACCTGGAGTATTTTGAGATTCAGCCTGAATCAGGCTGGATCGTGCTAAAGAAGCCTCTTGATGTAAGTTTTAGTCCATCTCTTCTTCATTACTTCACCAATTTTGTTAACTAAAAGAAACAATTTCACAGTTCTTCCATTATGTTTTAATTTAAGATTTTGAGTGTGATTTCAATTTTTTTCAGTTTTAGTGGTATTTTTAAACACCAATGTAAATTTTATGTGCTTCTAATGTGTGAAGTTTTTTTTGCATCAATTGCAAGTTTGCAATATTTTACTGCTCTGAAAATAACAAAAATTAAGTTTCATTTGGCTTTTTACCACATGCAACATTATTTGCAATACATTTACGGTGTGTTATATGTTTTTGAAAGTTTTATAGGTATAGGTATATTTAACTTTTACAATTTATACTTTGTAATCTCTTCAGGGGTCAACGTAGCATCGACATTTTCTGCTGTGGATCGTCAAATTGTGTACATAATATTCTATGTTGTGACATAATGGAAGAATAACCACAACAAATTTTTATCCTAAAATTTTTTAAAATTGAATATTGAATAAACCAAGCTTTGATGATGCTTTGTTTCTGTAACGGATTAAAAAAACTTAACCACTTATCAAAGCCATTTGATGTTGAAATTTATTTACTTTTATTCTACACCGATCATTTTGTGAAATTGTTTCTTCCAATTTTCTATTGAACCTTTTTAATACATTTTTGAGGGTTTATTTTATTATTTTGCCTCCTCATTGTAGAGAGAATAGTTTAAAACATATATTTTAATTAGGAAATATTGGTTTTCTAGTGAATGATTAGTAATTTTAAACGATCAGTTCTCCAATAAGGTTTTACCTAACTTAGTTATCAAGATTTTATGGTAATGTCCGTTTATAAAGAACAAAAAGAAGCGTAAAATAAAATAAAATAAGCCCTCTTAAAACAGAGAACAAATACTTCTCATGAGGACAGTTGCCAATAAGGTGAACATGTTTAAAACAATAAACAACAAAATAATTTGTGTGCATTTGAAGAGTCAGCTTTTTCCAGTGGTTTGGTTGACGCACACTTTGTTTCCGTTAGCGAGGAGGTGTCACTCTGTTTGGTTTCTACGGCACTTTTCTACTTTCAACTATTTTCACTGTCGTCTGAAGAGCACAATGTAATCCAAACTGCACTCTTTGGTTTGCCATTCCTCCAAATGTTCGCCATAAATTTTTCATGGCTCAGCACACGTACATTTTTGTCTTCGGGGTCAGTTTTTACCCCGAAGATATTTTACTGTCATTGTCTTTTTGTGGTTTGTGACTTTTGTGGTGTCTAATTTTTTGTGCCACTTTTTCCAGCAAAGGTGTAAGTATTTTTGTACTTTTGTACGGGCAGACACCTGGTTTTTGTACTTGACACTTTTGACTGATTTTGAGAGTTCCATTTTGCAGATGGCTCTGGTTGCAGTTTTGTAGTATCAGAGGCAGTTTTTGCGATCTCTGATATTACTGGTTCTTGTGACATTTTTTCTCCTGTGTGTGGGGCAGCGACCTCAGTCCGGCGAGACGTTAGCCAGCTTTTTCATTTTTGGAAACGGGATCTCCATTTGACGTTTCCGTATTTTTTCCAACGCCTACCCCACTCCTTCCCGAGGTTTTATTTGTTTTGTTTTCATCAATTGCATCCCGATTAACTGCATGTGCTGCCTGTAATGTGTTATTATTCCCGAGTCCTCCTGGATTTTGGTATCTTTGTTTCTTTGTTTTGTTATTTAACTGCACATTTCTGTTCTGATTATGCAATCGAAAAATTCTTCACAAGGGATGTTTTCCAGTAAGTAGGTGTTTCCATTTTTCAGTAAACATGTTGAGTAGTGAAGTACATACTAGCCCTGTAAGTGGCAAAGGTTGTGGTAGCATAGCTCAAGTTACTGTATTTGATAACCTTATTCCTGATATTGGTAAGTGAGTTTGCAAAGTCATGAGTCAAGGTAGATCCGTGATTTGTCAATATTTTTATTTGTTTATAACTATTAAAATATTCTGTAACCATTGCTGTAAGCTAATAATTTTGTCCCTAAACTCCATCCTATTCAAGCGTCTTTGACATTAAAAGCTACCGTTTTACAGTATCTTTATTCCCTGACGTATTATACTTGTACCAAAAGCTGTTTTATAATGAGTGGTACACCTTGTAGAACAACAATCTTGTTTTGGTCCAATATTCTGTTGATATCCACAGAACATTCTTCTCGTAGCATCATAAAATAGTCCCAATCAAGCCAATAGCACCAATAGTGTTGTGAAAATAAGCAAAACATTAGCATTTTGCTAGAAATGACAATTTAAAAAATTCCAGTGTTAAGTTATTTAATAAGGTATGTGATTATATGACTTAGTGTGCATATAAAATTACAAAAAACTCATGTTAGTAAATCATTTATCAAGTTATGTAAGTTAATGTTCAAAAGTAGATTTGTGTGGTTGGTTTACACCTTTAAAACATTATTTAGAGATCCCAAAATAATTATTATGATTTTTATTAATTTTAAACCTTTTTTTAAAATGTCCATTTCCAGTGTTTACCTTATTTTAATTGGATGTCTTGGTTCCTAATTTTTCAGAAGTTGAAATACCATTACATCTAATTATTCACCATGATTAAGTTTTTAGTGGAAATTGATCCTTGTTTCTAATAGTGATAAAAAAATATCCAAGTAATTAATTTTAATAATTGATAACAACTGCCTATTAGTACGCATGTTCCTACTTTTTATTTTGAAGCAATTCCTAAACAAACAAAATAAAATGGACAATTAACATGTATTTGTAGTAAAATTTCTTTCACAAACCCACAATCATTGCTGAATGGAAGAAGTTATAACAGGTATAAATGGCTATTAAAACAACATTTTATTCCACACATTTAAGTCAGGTGGTTTGCATGTGATGCACTATGGGTCCAAGAGAGACTTACACCCCCCTCCCTCCCTTCTTTGCGAGGGATTTTTTCTTCCTTTCACCCCCAGAAACTTAAATGTCTTTCGTCCCTGGGCCCACCGGTCTCATATACTAAAGCGATTAATCTAAGTGTTGATGTTTTAAGAATATGAGTTTGAAACCAGTGTGGAAATGATACTGAGTATAATAAACTCTTGTTTACTATAGTAATAGAGAACCACTAATCAGGGTTGGTGAGTCAATAATAGACTTGGAGTCCATGTCTAGTAATAATAGTAAAACCATACCAACAATCTCGTGGTTGATGTTATTGAACTTTCTTAACATTTTTTCAATTGAGTAATCTGGCATTGGCCTAAGAGTTCTATAAACACTGGAAAAATCTTTTCAGTGCATTTGACGGAATTTTTGAGTATTCACGTGCAATTGGGAGTAGATACTAAAAAATCACTATAGAAAAGAGAAAATGATCCAACTTATCTTTATATATGTCTTTATGTGTAAGCAAATAAAGGCTAATTCACCATTTGTAATCATGTTTGTAAATGCTACCAGCTTCAAGTTCTTCAGTTCTACAAGCGAGTTTTGTGAGTATAATCAGTGGAAATATACATTTATGTTGTGTGTCTATTGTTGTTATCACTTTTAAAAACATAAGATGAATTAATTAAGGAATAAACGATGAACCATACTTTTCAAGTTACTTTTTTGTGTTAACACTCTTAATAAAACAAGGTTAATAATATCAGACAAAAAAATATAGATTTTGTGGTTTTAACTTGGTAAGAAATCTCATAATAATTAATTAATTTTACAAGGGCTATTAGACTACATCAATTAATCATGCATTTTTAACAATGAACATTTGGCATTTATACATGAGGTGATTTAAAATACCTCATACAAATAAAAAATAACCTTCAGTTGCTACATAATGTTGGTATGGTTTTACATATTTTAGATATCTTTACATTTATTTTAAACATAGTATTAGATCAGAGTCTTCTTAGCAAGAAGGTAAGTTATTGAAAGGTTAATTAAAATAAAATATAAAAAAATGTAATTATTGACCATGTTTTACTGTTTCCGAAATGAACATTTTTAAACACATCAGGAGTTTTTAAGAATAATTCTAATTAGGTTAGTGGCTCATTGAAACCTGGGTTTCTAGTGTAAAAAAGATACTAAAATCACATAGATGTTTTCAGAAATTTTTCTTGAGCTATGCTACCGACAACCGAACAGAGGATGTGTGTTTTTGAGGCGAACGTAAGTAAAGTTTACATCTCTTGTCTACATTTTGGTTCTCTGATTATTTCCATTTTGTTCTGTTGTGTTGTTCCCTATCCTTGACGGAAATGTTTGATGTAGCGGGAAAGGTATCGTCTGCGTGTGAAGGCCTCGGACAAAGGCGAACCTCCGTCGAGCGCCGACGTCGACGTGGAATTAGACGTTGTTGACCGGAACAATAAGCCGCCTCTCTGGGACATGAGCGTTTACGGCCCCATTCACATCAAAGAAAATGTCACAGTGGGTACAGTTGTGACGGCGGTAAAGGCGAGGTTTGTATCACCCAGGGTCTGTCCGCAACCGAGGGTCAACGCAATGTTGCCCTTCGGTTCATTATATCTAGTCTGTAAGTTGTAAGTATGACGTCAACTACGACGTGACATTGTGTGTTTCTACCCCCTTGACCCGATCCTGGTGTTTTCAATTAGCGAGAAACTTACAAGCTGGAGGCGAAGGCTGAGGATAAGGGCTATCCTCCCTTGTCGCGAACTGTCGAGGTCCAAATCGATGTGGTGGATCGGGCGAACAACCCGCCAGTTTGGGACCACGTGGTATACGGCCCGATCTACATAAAAGAAAACATGCCCGTCGGGGCTAGAGTAGTGTCCGTGAAGGCCAGGTCTGTCTGAATGTCGTTTTATTTGCCTTGTGCCTTTCGACTGACCCTGCACGGCACTACGGAGTCGTTGAGTTGTGCACGCCGCGTCGGCTCCACACCGTAGCACGTAGGTGTGGGGCCGAGCCACCCTTCTTCCATTAGTTGATGTAGTGGCTCCATATGGTACGAGTGCAACAACCACAGTTAGTTACGTTCTAAAATATTAAAACAAATTTTTATCTAACAATATTTTATATTTATATAAACATATTTGTACAGAAACAACAGAATCACATAAATACTTGATTGATAACATTTGGTTGTTAGAACTTTCCCATGTGTGAGCCACTGTAGGCTAGGCCACTGCTGCGCGGTGAAGGTAGCACTACGGTCCAGGTCACTTTTAAAACATTTGCCAAAATATTATTAAGATAAAAATAATAATAATCTTGAGGAAAGAATTTTATTACTTTTACTTGTCTTTGCCTATACTGTTGCGTGTATTTACTTTTAATTTAAGTTATTTGTTTTTCTCTATCAAAATTAAACAAAAAATGTTTCAATTTTCCTGAATAATAAGTAAAAAAATACAATCAATCTCAAGTCAAAAGCCTTAGGCCTGGTTCAAGTTTAATTTAACTGTTAAATGTTAAATGCCAACATGTCAAAATTAAGGATAAATTTCTCTAGCCAAAATTAATTATATTTTGAACGCTTTGCAATTTCGCATTTAATGTTGGTATCATTGTAGCTGTGGTTTAGATTTAGAGAATTAAAATTACAAAAACATTTTTTATTTGTGTAGCTATTTCTTTGTGATGAAAATGATTTTTTTGTTTAGTTACCAAGATAAGTTAAAAAAATCCCTTTTCCTAGTGTAAAATATAACATTAAGGATTGTTTTATAACTAATTATTACTAAAATAACCTCTTAGAGAAAGGTAACAGAAAAATTGGTATAAAATAGAGCCTGCTCTCCCTTACAAGCACCAAACTGACAACACATTTATTGGGCCACTGTTCTGAATTTAAGAAAGTAAAGCATCAATGAACAACATTTTTTTTATGTTGTGTTCATCCCAATTAAAGAAACTTGCAATCCATAGCTCCTGATAAATATTTAGTTGTAGACTCTCTATTCTTATTCAGCTTTAGACAAATCATTGATCGGAATCTAACTTACATTGTGTTTGTAAAGCCCACATAACTTCACACTTTTTATGCTTATACTGTAACAGAATTGATGAAATAATAAGCTCTCTTTAGGATTGAAAAGGTAACAGGGGTTTAATATTCATTTTGGTGGTGTTTCAACTGTGTTTTGTTTTTTGTGTTTTTGTGATGTGGCTATACAACTTTTTGTGGCATGATAGCTATTTTAAATAGTATTTTTTAATTTTGTAGTCAGTTTATCAGTGTACGTAATTTAAGTATAAAAATATTTTTTACGTAATATTTGAGACATTTTGAAATCTTTTCTTGCATGGCGTGCACTTGCTAATGTGTGAAAATACAATTCCAAACATGTTTTGAATTTTTATAACTTATTAATCATTATTAGTTCAATTCACTAAAAACTGTAGTTAACTTTAATAATTGTAGCTTTATTTAAAACTTTAATCTTTAAAACTTTATTTAATTTAAAAAAGTTTATTAGTTTTTATGTTAAAAATACACAGTGTTTGTCCATATTTACTCTAGGAAGGAAATAAAATATATTCATGTATTTGACAGCTCTGGTATAGAAGGAAATCCAACAGTTTTCTATCGCTTGATGCCCGGATCTACAGCACAGACCAACAAGTTCCACACGTTCTACCTTCAACAGAGGTCAGACAACGGGTTTACTTGGGCGGATATAAAGGTCAACCATCCACTGGACTATGAAACTATAAAGGAATACAACTTGACGATACGAGTAGAGGTAGGTTCAACCAGTTAAATGTACCATAGAGAAGTAAGGTAAAAAGAAAACAACCTTATGAGACGACCGTGCGCTTTCAGCTCTGTTGTGCCGTGTGACGAGCAAGGAAGAGCCCAAATTGCGAGCATTGTGCGGAAATTCCTATCACACACAGAGTTTTCGTCTACTGTGAGCGTTGGTTGTAGAACATGAGGGCTAGGGGGGTGGTGTTGGACTTCACCCTAGACACAAGGGACTAGTGCTAGACATCACATTAGTGCACCATTGAATGTTTCCTCTGTACCTTACTTCTCTGAGAATGTACTAAATGCAAACTAATCACTCATTCACTTCACTAGACAGTAACAAAGATTGTTAGAAATTCAGGCTTAATATAAATGCACACCCATCAGAACTTGTTTGGTTTATTTTACAAACATTTGTGGAAGCTTTCAACTCAAGATAGATTTTGGTTTAGTTTAGTTTTCTCACAGTATTTTGAGGGATGGTAGTTTCCGCCTGTAGCCCACTTGTGCTTAAGTAATTTGTTGAATCTTTCTGGAAGCACTAGTGTCATATTCAGGCTTTAGCAGTAATCGTGTCATGTGTTGATGGTAACATGGTGGCTGAATCGACTCGCGTCTTGCACTGATAAGTTCACTTCTTTCATTTATATCGGTCGTTTTACATTCACGGGGATTGTTTCCTGCACAAATATTTCCGAAGGTAGAGACAGTCAGTTAGGATGATCAGGCTGATAGGATGATTTGTAAACACTTTTAAGACCCGTTGCTGGAAGTTGACATCCCATTTCGTTACAGTTTCATGTCTCAATAAAAACAAGTTATAGGTAGTATTTAACATTAAATTAAATTTAGGTAAAAGCAGAAGTGAAGCCCTTCGATTATAACTGTACCAGGTTCCAATTACTTTTATTCTGAAGATCATGTATTCTCCTCCTTTTCTTGTCTCAATTTTGAGAAGACAAATTCTGAAACAGACAATCTTCTTCAATCATCAGTCTTTTTTAAAGATTCCCTTCTTTAGTCTGCCTACTTTTGTATTTTTGCCAACTTTTGATTTATGTTTTATTGATTCTTAAAATATGATGAATGAAGCTTTGAAATAAATGTTGTGGCTTTGCCTGATGTAATGGGATGAAACACATAAATGTGGCTATTCGTCCTAAAAAAGAGCAAATACAATTGTTTAGTTTTAGATAAATTGAATTCTTTACACATATGTTTTATGAAACTGAAATTTCTTGGTAGAAGGTCCATCTCCTAGGCGAGCAGCACGGGAGGGGAAAACGAGCAGAACGGAGAGGTAGGCCATAATCCCAGAGACAGCAAGGCGAAACAAACTTCCTCTCCACCAAAATAGCTCGGGTCTGCTTCATGTCCTCCTCACAGGCCCCAAAAGGCGCGCGTGGCGCGATAAATTTATTCCATGGTCGACGTTTGTCTCCTCTTGAACCAAATAGGGGCAATTAACATTAAAACCATGCCACAAACTTTAAGATGAAATCGGATAACCAAAAAGAGCCGACCCGGAGTCGAGCAACGCCACACAACCTATGAGTTGCTGGCGGAAAAAGAGTAATAAGAACAAAACTCACAGCCTTGTTCGGGGTCGTGGGCAATAACAAATCGACACACTAAACTAGCCTACTATAAAAAAAACACTTGAACCATTGAATATGAGTCGTGACATTCGCCCGGTGGAATTAGTCACGGCTCAAGAAAAGTTCTAGGTTTAAGTTTGAACAAAAAAAGGTACTAATTGAATTTGCACAGACATACCAGTTAATAATGGTATGTTTTTTTCTTTTAGCGCAAATATTGCTGGTGACGACTCCTAAACCAAAAATAAGTTCCTCAATATTAAGACTTATGTAAACTTTTGGAATGTACCTAAATATTGAAAACTAGATGTATGAAAGTTAACCTCACTATATAATTGATTTCATGACTTCCCTCCTTAAGGCCAAAGTCTTAAAACAGCTCTAGTGATTCGCCACCTATTAAAATATCATAATCACATCATGGTTGCTTCAGGAGTTTTTTATTAATCAATTTGAACACAGGGCAAACAAAGTTTTTAACAATTTTGTTTTTTCTGTTACAGAACAACGGAGCCCAGCAACTGGCTTCGGAAGCCACCGTGTATATTATGCTGGAGGACGTAAATGACGAAATTCCGTTGTTCACGGAGCGAGAACAAGAAACTGTGTTGGAAGGGGAACCGATCGGAACGAAGGTTACACAGGTCAATGCGATAGACAAGGACGGAACGTTCCCCAACAATCAGGTATGTTGAATCTTAGAAAAATAAATGATCTCTTTCTTAGATGGTCAAAACAGGTTTGAAGTTAACTGCAAAACACTTAAATCAAAGAAAGAAAACATGTAAAGTGACAATCTTTGTTTTGGTAAATCTTCACACAATGGAATAATAAAACTCATGTATAGATTTGGGTGGTATAAGTTGTTGTAAAAAACGTTAGGAATCAATAATCGTGGACTAAATGTTCTTTGGTAAAATATTTAAGTAATGCTTGTAGGAGCCAAAGAAAAAAAACAACAAAGGGAAAAGTTTGACAAGACATACCTACATGTACAGTTATGTAAATGATGTTTCAGATAAAAAAATTACCTCATTATGGAAATAAAAAGACAATCAAACTAAATTTCATATTAGACTTTTTGTCCATAATTTGCCACCAATTCACCCTTTTACCCATTCAAATTTAATGTTGCAGTTTCAATGTGCTCTATCAATCTCTTTTTATGAGCCTTGTGAATAGAAAGGCTCCTATTCTTCGGAAGAAGGACGTCTATTCTTCATTCACAATAGGCCGAGGGTGTTTTCTACTTAAGCAAACGGAAGTTTAGTTTTCTGAGGGTTATTTTTCAATGCAGTACATATATCTTGGCTAATAGTTTAAACAACTGTTTGGCAATTGAATTTTATGAAATATATTAGTTGGTCTGGAATTTCAGTTTTTAAGAAGAAAACTATAAAATGCCACTTAGGAATTCTTTGAAACTGTTTTGTCACGTACAACTCATGGAATATGTGTGTATGGAGTAATACTGGTGCGTGTCACAAAGATTTTAATTTGACTGCCTCTTTTATTATTTATATATTTTTCATTAACACACTTTCTTTGATTCTTATTCTTTAAATTATTTACAACAAAATCAATGCTTCCACCATGTGTAATACTTGTATACAGATTTACAAGGCTTTTGTATTAAATATCTTTTCTTCTTTCCAGGTTACGTATTATGTCGTGGATTCGCCGCGAAATGAGGGAAAAGACTTTTTTGAAATTAATTTACAAACGGGCGAGATATTTACAAAAGTGGTGTTTGATCGTGAGAAGCAAGGTGCGTACGCTCTGGAGGTGGAGGCCCGAGACAACTTCCCCTCGGCTCGACCTAACAGTGGAGGACAACCTAATTCAGGTAGGGAAAGAATTCTTTTCCTTAGTTGTAGTTGTTTTTGTAAGTTTTACACTTTGGAGGTAGAAGTCGAAGTACTGAAAAACTAGGACCCTCACGTTTCTCCCCTAATTCTTCTTAATATCACAACAATATGGTAAATCAGTATTTGTTATTCAGGAAGTTATTATGTATTTTCTATCACAATTAGTGAAGTTTTAATGTAGTTTTGGTGGGAAAGTACCCAAAACAAAACAAAGTTAATACACAAACCTAAAAAAAAGATGGAGCAGCATTTGTAGAAAAAAAAATAAATCAAATTTTCCTTACCGAAATAAAGGTTCAATGATGTTACACCTCTACCATTCATTCAGAGAAGGAAGGTACAGAGGAAACATTTAATGTTACACTTAAATTTTGTATAACATAGCTAGTGTCTTAGGGCAAAATCCAAACCACCCCCCTTGCCCTCATATACTACAATGCTCACGGTGGAGGAAGACCCTGTGCGATAGGAATTTCCGCACAGTGCTCGCCACTTGGGCTCTTCCTTGCTTGTCATAAGTATATTTCCGGCAAAATGTATGAGAGCTGAAAGCGCACGGTTGTCCCATGAGTATGTTTCCTCAGAACCTTCCTTCTTTCCTAACTACTTCTTTTCTTTTTTACTCGTTTACCAAACACTAACTCATGGTTAGTGTTCAGCCTATATTTAAGGTAATAATAAATACAATTTCATGGATCATTGCAGAACACATATAACAATAATTGTACAGCTATTAAGGATATAAATTAAAGAAGTGTTTTTCTAGTTAGGCAGTTTAGCTAGCTATAAATAAACAGCTCAAACCTGAGCCACCTTCCACTAATGCCTCTTTACACCTGATCCTCAAATAATAACTTTTGCACACTGTAAAAAAAAAAACACTTAAAATGGAAAAGTGTAAATAAAAGCCGGACTTTGAAACTCGCTCAAATTTCCCATCTTGTCATATGTCCTCAATACTTAAGCAAGTTGTTGTCAGTGCTAGTTAAAAAAAATTCTATTCATAATGACAAAAAACTTAATACCATTTCAAATGTACACTAGTGTAGTTGATAATTTTAGCTTTAAAAAATAATTATGCTAACATATGAACTGATGTGAGGAATAATTTGGTACTAGTTGCCCTGCCCGTGCTTCGCTACGGGGTGAGAATGTAGAAAAGAATAATTCGGTTTTACTGATACTATAATATACTATGAGAAACAGTTACAACACACTTACCAGGAAACATATAGGCAAAGGTTCAATCCTGCTTAGTGATTATTTAAATTAAGATCTCTTAAAGTACTGTATTACAGTATTATCATTTTATATAGTGTATATGATTTAAAATATATGCAAAACTATAATTCATTGATCACATGGCACCAAGAAACAACTTTCCTTGTAAACAATTTAAATTAAATAGCAGAACAGCATTTCTGACAACAGCTGGAGTTTCATAACAATATTTGTTTCCCATGTTAATCTTATGGAGAAATACGAAACTTTAAAAGGCACCCAGGCCTCACTCTCTAATTATTTCCCTAAAAAGAAAGTTTCCTGCACAACTTCACGTTACGCTCTTTCCAATGACACCAAAAACATGTCAATCGGTTCAGTAGTTTCGGAGGAGTAATTGTCACAAAAAACCTGCTTGCGTATTAAATAAGTATAGATAATAATAATAATTGATACTTTAGTCAAGCAATAAAGGCAAAGACCTTTCAATCTGATAGTTTTTTGCTAATAGAACAAATGAGCTTACTAAGGAGGTAAACAATTTTTAAGCCATGTAGGTACTTTTTAAAGCTGTTCAACTTACAATTAAATTTGGATGTCTTGCTTGATTGTCAAGCATATTATGATTATTATTGACGATACCTTGTAACATTTGCAAAATTTTACAAGGTTTAAAACCAATTCAGCCATTTTATTTTACCTCTGGTGTTTTTAACACTTTTATACATAAATTTAGTTTTCTTATAAGTAAAACTACAGTGGATATCCATTTAAAGTAACAAAGTAATATTATTCCTTTTTTTACTAACCATGTTATTCCCATATTTAAGATATCAGCTAAAAAAGTAGATTTACAAATTTACAAGCTATTTTATCTTCTAATGTACTGGATTGTTCAAGTTTGTTAACGGAACAGTAAGATTTATTACAGCCATAATATAGGATGACCAACCCCTGCATTATCTGTGGTACGTGCCAAAATAAGAGCTGATAAAATTGTATTTAGGGTAATAAATCTACTTTCCAATATCTTGGTGGCTTTGGCATCGCAGGGGGACCGGCTTGCTATTAAATCAGCCCCAAGCATTTCATATGTCCTTTCACTCCCCATCTACTTCCTCCTCCCTCACCTTTGGTTTTAACAACCTCTAAGGGGCCCATAAATGCAGAACTACTTGTTTTAAAATGTGTATGATCTGCTTTTAATCTGTTTGGAAGCTAAATTAGTTTAAATTTAAAATTAAATTAGTTTAAAATTTAAAATTAAATTAGTTTACTGGAGATTATAAGATTTTACATTTGTAAAAAAAAAAAAATTAAACATGTTTGATTTTGCATAAATAAAATAATAGTAACAATTTAAAATAAACAGTATCAGCAAACTGACACATACTTTCTCCCATACGCTTGTAAACAACTTTTATCATGGGCAAGCGGTGGGAGTAACTATGATATTCTATTGGGATGAATCACAAAAGTTGCAATAACTTTTGAACCGTCATTGTTACAGCAATGGGGAGTTGCACTATTTTTGTTTAGAATTATAAGGACCATAACACATTAATTTTAATCAAAACCGGCTTTTTACCTAAAATACGATATTTTTTGTTTTATTGGGTTTTTATGGGAAGTAACTTAATATAAGTTACAATAACTTTTGAACTGCAATTTTTACAGAAATGGGATCTGTACCATTTTGTTCAAAATTGTAAGGACCATAAAATACTAATTTTAATAAAAAACCGGCCTTTTTTTCTAAAATCAAATTTTTTGTTTTTATTGGTTTTTGTGGGAAAATAACATAAATTACAATAACTTTTGAACCTTAATTTTTACAAAATGGAATTCGTACAATTTTGTTCAGAATTTAAAAGACTATAACATACAAAATGTTTACCAAAATCAGATTTTTCTGTTATTTTATGGGTTTTTTATGGAAAAATCAACATAAAAAAAATGAAAAAAAAAATGCCTGGAGATATAATAGATTAGTACCTCTCTAGGTATCAAATTTCACCAAAATCTAATGACAGGTATGGTCTGTAGCTCTGTACACATTAACACACCTACACACACATAGACATCACTTCAAAAACCACTTTTTTGGGTCCAGGGCAAATTTTTAGGGATCCACTCAAAACTCAAACTAGAAAATGTTGATGACAAACAATACTTTCTCCATTTACTATGTATAGGGGGAGAAAGTAAAAATATACTTTGCAAACAGTTACTGTTATCCAAATCAAATTACAATTTTAAATACAAAAAACATTGTACAAAATATTACCTATTTCTGGATTGATCTGATATCCTTAACTTTAAAAGCAACACTACTTTACCACTCTCATTTGATCTTATAACAATACAGTTAATGGCAAGGGGGGAAATCGGTTCTACCTTAGAACTTTAGTGGATAAATCATAGTATTTTCTAATATCATTTAACAAGAAAACAATCATTTACTGATTTAAGATTTGGCTATACATACACTACTGTAATGTAGAAATTTCACTGTCACTAAGATAGTAAAAAAATATAGTCCAATAAGCTCAAGATAGATTGAGCTGTTGTAAAATATAATTTTTCTTACACACCATGCCAAACTTAAACGCAAGTAAACTGTATGCTATGGTATAAAAAAATAAAATAAAAACCAAAAATTTTACATGAAAAACTCATTTAACTTGGAGTAGAACAAGTATTCTCTCTGTTCTAGAGTGATTATATCTGTTCTAGTTAATTATACAAGATTTCTTCTGTAGTATCTAAAGTCACTGCTAGTTTTCTAGGATTATTGTAATAGTTACTATATAAAAGAGTACAGTATATGGACGGTGTGTATTATCTGAAATCTAAAAACAAATTTTGCTTATAGCCAAAACTTAAGAATTGTTTTAATTTTTTGTGTGGGAAAAGTACAATTTAATAGGAATTGGAATAGCAAGATGAAATTAATGAGATAACTTCCACTGCTCAGCTTATTGAAATTCTTGGCCACAAATATGTGAAATGACTTGCTCCACTTTATTAAACAACCATATTTATGTCTTATATGCCAAGTCTCATTTTATACGCCTCTTCATAACCTGTAGTTTGTTGTGTGTTTCGCAATATTTGTTTTGTTCTCTCCATGTCTGGAATATCTATCTGTTTATAAAATTCTGTGTTATGGAGTAAATTGTTTTCCTACTGAATAAAAAGAAAATTAGTTTCAACTATGGTAATCCTTTTAACAGAGTAAGGTAGTAAATCCTAGAGGAACAAACCTAATTAAGTGTCTATTAAGTTTATTAGTTGAGTTGAAAGTTTGTAAAGGAGAATTGTTTTAAAAGTTAGTTCTCTCAAGAAATTAAGAGTTGAACATTGATCTGGAAATTTTGGAAATTGATAGAAAGCAAACTTTTAAAACTAGTTGAAGCGAAAACTTCCCAACTGAAGCGACCGCTTTGTCACATATTCTGCTGAGTTTGATGCTTTTAACACTTTTGCTTTTAACACCTTCTGTGTTTTCCAATCATTCTTTAACCTGCTCTTCGAAAGCGAATCTTTCATTGAGATACATATACATTTTATTTTAGGTACTTATACTTAGAATGTGTTAAGATAGCCGGTTTGGAAGGTTTATAGTGGTTACCTTTTGATTTGGATGTTGTACTTCCAATCTAATGTCAAGTTAGCAATGTACTAAATGCGATTTTTTCAAATTAGCCAATGGTTTGTAATATTTTAAGTCAATCAATGCAAATGTTAACTGACA